GAGAGATTTTTAACGTAATTTTTAAAATTTTTATAATCATATCACCACGAAGTCTGCATTGTGGCAGTTTATAGTAATGTCTGTCACATGGGAATCATGCTGCAGACATGTAGCATGATGCTGCACCCAGTCACATTGTCCTGACACCAGGCCGACCAGTCCTAACGCAAACCTCTTAATGCTGAGCGTCAAGCGAGGCAGCTGTTAGTACAATTTTTATAAGTCATTGGTATGACTCGGCCAGAGATTGAACCCATGACCTCCGACAATGGAGGCGGACGCTTTAACCACTAGGCTACATGAGCGGTCGTGTGAATAGAGAACAAGGTGAAATCTGAAATACAATTTGAATTCACTGTAAAGAAATTTTTGTCTTTAAATTGGTCATGACACACTATTGTGATAGGGCTGGATTTAAATATCATGCTTGGAATGACGTAATATTTTTTAAAGCAGTATTCTGAAACTTACATAGTCTATATTTGCAACAAGTGTTTCGGGTATTGCAAGTCTGGTAAGTGAAAAGCTTCGTTAGTATGTGAGGTTTAGCTTTATGAGGTATATTTTTATGAGGTTTAGCTTCATGAGGTTTAGCTTTAAGATGTATATCTTTGTGAGGTTTAGCTTTATGAGCTGAAGCAGGAACTTTGACATACTTGGCAACAACATTTAGCCATAGAGTGGCAGCCGAGAAAGGAACTCTGGCTGCAAATTTTTTTACGGAGTAGCAGCTGAGACAGGAACTCTTGATGTATCTAACTAAACTTAGAAACAGTGTAGCAGCCGAGATAGCAACGCCTGGTTTATCTGGTTGCAACTTTTAGACATAGGGTAGAAATATTGGGCAGTCTAGCAGTTGAGACATGCACTCTTGACATATTTACTGCATATGTTAGATAAACAGCAAGTATAGGAATTATTGACATTTCTGCCTACAAGCTGTAAGAATAGGTAGCAGACAGAACTTTAGCAATAAATTGTAGACATAGAGTCAATTTTATACCTAGAGTATTAGTTGACATATGAACCATTGGAATATTTGACTACAGGTTTTAGACACATGTTACCAACAGAGATGGAACTCTTGATGTATCTGAATACAAGTTGTACATATTGAGTTGCAATGAAGATAGGAATTCTCGTTAGATTTCGCTGCAACATTTAGACATAGGATAAATTTTAGACATATAGCATAATAAGAGCCGGGAACTTAGGCTCCATCACATTTAAAGTAAAACCTCTATTTACACAGTCACAGACAAAAAAGACGTATGCTAGTTGAAATATGTACTTTGTCCACTGACTTAATGAAGCTATCACCGAATATTCAAATTAACTTCAAACATGTGTCGATCCTCCACGATCAGCTGACCAATAGTATCGGAAAGATAAGGCATTAAGCGTGATCTTATTACAGCGGGAGGCATGACAATTATTCTGGAATAATGTTCATCAGGTACCTAACCGTGACTATACATCTCATATAAATTTAAATTGACACGACTGCAAAAGATTTTACATGACATTTTTAGTGAATACTTACTTAGAGTTCGTACTAGTTCATATAGCTATGTATAGAGACCCGGATCGTTGCGTGTGCAAAGTGCACCATATACACAGGCACCTCATTTCCTATTCGTTTTATTAGCAATTTATTTAAACAAAATCTTGGAAAGGCGCCAAACATTCATCACACACAAGATAAGCACCACGCTCCGGGCGTTTATGTGTATTTATTTTTTTGCTTTGTTTGTTAGCTAGTTTTATTTTATTTCATTACATAATACTGTAATATAACATTGTATGTTGGACTTGACCTTGTCCAAAATTGAGTTCATTTCTGCTTGACCCAAATTGACTTTTTATTTTATTCATTGCAAACCACCAATACATAGCTAAATTAGTTTCTATATGTATATGTTTTAAATTAGATTATTGTTAATAGAAGAAGTAAATATGTTTATTTGGTCAATGTTTTTGGAATTTCCTAAGTGAATTTTGCAGGTTATAATTTATTATGTACACACCAGGATCATTTTAGGTTATTTTAAATTAGGTAGTTTAAAAGAAAATTGAAAATGCTAATTATGACCCAAGGTCAGGTAGAACACTGCATGAGACCGAACAATCAGCTTCCTCCATTCCTCTCGATTTTCCGTCTTTCTCAGTGCGTCGCTAAGTGTTAAGTCTGTCCACTCCCGAATGTTGTCTTTCTATCTCTTCCTCTGCCTCCCTTTCGTTGTTCTTCCTTGTACAGTGCCTTGCATGATTGTTTTGGCACGTCCTGATGATCGTGAGACCTTCTCATACAAATACAGTTTACGTTTTGTTTCACTGTGACTGTGGTTAGGAGGTCTTCGTTAGGAACAATGGCTTGTCTAGTCCTTTGCCGTATATATTCATTGGTGATACGGTTTTTGTATGAGACACTGAGGATCTTTCGGAAGCAACCCATTTATGTGGTCTGTATCCTTTTCTCTAAGTCAGCTGTTATGGTCCACGATTCACAGGCATAGAGAAATATGGAGATCACCAGTGAGTGCATCAGTCTGACATTGAAATGAGTGCGATATTCTTGTCGCTCCAGATGGACTTCAGTTTTGTCAGCGCTGCTGTTGACTGCGCAATCATGGAGAGTACATTATTCTTCGATCCTTTATCTGTTACAAATGCCTCCAAACACTTGAAGCTGTGGACTATTTCTTGCTTTGTACTTTAGATCCTGATGTCTGTGCTGAAGCCATTGGTGTTGTTGGTCATCAGTTTGATCTTCTCCGCACTGATTTCCATGCCGTAGGCTGTTTAGGTTTTGTCCAGGTTCTCACTAAGCTAGCTAGTTCTTGCTAATTTCCTGCAAGTCCATCAATGTCGTCGGCAAAACATAAGCTGATGCTGACTATCCTTTCATGCTTTTCAAGCACTTCAGCTGTGATTCTCTCTAGAAAGATGCTGAATAATGTGTGTGTGTGTGTGTGTGTTTGTGAGAGAGAGAGAGAGAGAGAGAGAGAGAGAGAGAGAGAGAGAGAGAGAGAGAGAGAGAGAGAGAGAGAGAGAGAGAGAGAGAGAATAACCTTGTCTAAATCCGACTGTTGCTCTGAACCAGTTGTCTATGCTGCCGTTGAAGTATACTGCACCAGTGACTTTGTCATAGAGGTGATCTATTACTGTAATGAGGTTGACATTGATGTTGTATGGTCTAATGGTCGCCTACAAGACTGCATGCCATACCCTGTCAAATGCCTTCTTGAAATACACGAAGACGTGGTACAGACCTTGCTGGTGTTGGTGGCACTTCTCACACAATATCTTTAGGTTGAAGATCTGTTCTGTCGTGCTGTGCCCTACTCTGAAACCACCTGCTTGCTCTTCGGCAATGATCTTTTCATCTTGTGTCTTTAGTCTGTGCAGCAGTATCCTCAACATGACTTTGCTTGGTTGGCTTATAAGACTGATTGTACGGTGGTTTTCACACTGTTGCAAGTTACCTTTCTTGGGGAGGGTGATAATCAACATCTCCATTAGCACCCATGAGAACACTAAGATCAGCAGGAAAATTTGAGGAACTTACATATAAGAAGTAAACAGATACCGATACCATCCGGCTCAGGGCAATTCCATTCAACATCATCATCATATAGGCATACGCCCCAACATCAGACTATGATGACGCAGATGTGGAAGACTTCTATGACCAGCTAGAAGAAGTTGTGGATAAAACACAGAAAAAAGACATTCTTTTTTGTACAAGGCGATTGGAATGCCAAGAAAAGCGAGGACACTTGGATGAACTGGAAAGGAATATTTAGGCGCTGCTGCAATGCACAGACCAACGAGAGAGGTTTAGGGCTCCTGGTTTTCGTTAGTTACAACGACCTCATGCCAGCAAACGCATTCGCCAACACAAAATATATAGAAGATGGACATGGATCAGTCCAAACGGAGACCATCACAGTCAGATCGACTACATCATGGTTAAGAAGCGCGTACAGTCAAGTGTAAACATCGCCAAGATTCGAAGCTTTTCTGGAGTGGATATTGGAAGTGATCTTGATTTGGTGATGAAGACCTTCAGGCTACATCTAAAGAAGGTCAAGGCCACACAAGAATAATGTTTAATCTCGAGAAACTGAAGGATCCAGAAGTAGTAGAAGCCTTCCAGACAATAATTGGTGGGAACTTTGCACCTCTCACCATCCTCAACGCTGACGATACAGACGTGGACACGTTGATCACCACCTTTAATACAGCAAAGACCGAAACAGCGAGTTCCTTGGTAGACATCGCCCAGTTAAGAAGCCCTTGGTCACAGCTGAGGTCCTGAACCTGTGTGACAAGAGAAAAGAGCTGATGAAGAAAACGATCGATACAGAAGGGGCAGAGCAGTACAAGGCAGTCAACTGGGAAGACAAGAAAAGTATGAAAAGAGCAAAATAGAACTGGATAAAAGAACGGACCGAAGACATTGAAAGAAACTTAAAAAGGAACGTCAGCAAAAAAGCGTACCAACTGGTCCAAGATCTAACAAACACAAAACAACGGCGGGTTACCTTCTTACATGACAAAGCCGGAAACTGCCTCACAGAAGAAAAATACGTCATGAATAGATTGATAAGGTACTGCACAGAACATTGCAGCCACCGAGCCTCAATAGATTCAAAGGTACTGAACGTTCATCCAGCAACTATAAACGACAATCACTCTATCTTACGTGAAGCAGACACAGCAGTTAGATCATTAAAAAAAAGAGGAAGTCAGCAGAAGTGGACAACATCCCAGCAGAACTGGTCCTAGCAGGGGGAGAAGCAATGATTAGCGCCCTCACAAATATCTACAAAATGATCTGGCAAACAGGAGTATGGCCATCGCCGTGGACTCAATCACTGATCATCAGTACTTTTATTCTCACATAATTCCATCTCAATACCTTTCGATTAGGTGATAGTTTCCTGTATACCATCGCATTACATTGTGGTTAGGTAGGAGTTACATGTATTTCCACCGTTCCTGTGGCCTAGTGGTTAGAGCGTCCGCCTCTGACGCGGGAGGTTGTGGGTTTGATGCCCGGCCAACCCATACCAAAGACATAGCAATTGTACTTACATCTGCCTCGCTTAGCGCTCAGCATTAAGAGGTTAGTGTCTTGACTGGTGGGCCTAATGTCAGGATAATGTGACTGGCTGAGACATCATTATACATGTATGCGGGCATGATGCCCCAGGGCTAAACACCACTATAAACTTCCACACTGCAGACATCGTAGCGATATGACTGAAAAAATTGTTAAAGCTACGTTAAAAATCCAAAAATCATACATACACACACACGTGTATTTCCATTGGGACTCCCTCTCTATACCCATTTATTAGGTAATAGCTACATGCATTTTCATCCAATTCCGTATCGATATCTAGTGATTAGATCATATGAATACGTATTCTAATCCAATTCCACCTCAAGACATAGTTATTATATCCTCTCTACGTGTGATTATGTCATAGCTATTTGTACGTCCACGTGATTCTATCTTGGTTACCCAATGATTAATGTCATAGCTACACGCATGCCCATCCGATTACATGTCAGTACTTGGTGATAAGATCACAGCTACACGTAATCTCATTCGATTCCGTCTTGATACCCAATGATTAGGTAGTTGGATTCCTTCAGATTTGACCATGATACCCAATGATAAAATCACAGCATAATACTGTATTGTTTCGTGCACTTTAACGTTTCATGCACTTACAATCACAATCTGCTCATTGCCAGGAAATACTTGATATAAAGAACATGTTTTAAAATAAAATTTTGTGGCCAAAGTAAATTAATTGTTCTTTTGTTTTACTTATAATCATTTGTATATATGCAAAATTAACTTGTACAAAATATGCTAATACTTATGCTCAGTACACAGGGGATATTTTATTTTCATGCGTTAATATCGGATATATTTCATTATGTGGTGCCAAAACATAATATTTTAACGAGTGGCGATTTCAAAAGTTAAAATATACAGCTTTGTTACTACAAGATGAAGTATATTCGGAATTAACGCAGGAAAACATAATTTACATTTTATCTTATCCTAGGCTTTCTCCAGAATTGGTGTTAAAACGTGTAAACTAAATCTTCGGCACAACACGCTCACCTCCATCCCCGTTTAGTAAATTCGCCTCACACTCATATCCGGATTAGCTAAATCTACGTAGCTTAAGCATTATCACAATAATGTAAACTAATCGACCCTATCTGAAACAATGTAAGTTCGAACCATCATTGCATCACAGCCGGTTTTTGTCGTTGCCGATACGGAAGTAAGGGGAAATAACTTTAGAGAGACTCGAACAGTGGTCCAATGTTTTCTTTTATTAATTCTCATGTCTAAAATGTAAGAGTTTCTTTTTATTCATTCTAGCTCACGAGGTACACACATTTTGTTGTTGCAGGTACAATTTTGTAAGCACACGCAAAGCCTGCCAGTAGTTTCTCGTGGATCGGTGGTTTTTCCCGGAGTTTTCCAGGGCTCTTCCTCCACCAGATATCCTGTCCGCCATGTATATCCTATCTTGTGCTGAAAATGGCGTTAAACCCAACAACAACAACAACAACAATGGCAATCAAGCGTCGCATGGCATGATGGGACATCTTCACATGTGAAAATATAGGAATGGCAACAGATAACATGTGAAAATATAGGAATGGCAACAGTTAACAATTATATCGCTAATAAATCTCTTTATTTTACACTTCTGTATACAGTAAAGTAGCTTGATGGGTTATACTTAAAATGTTAATAGTACTACATCGATTAAGTTTTAAAGGTCTATGAGAGAGAGAGAGAGAGAGAGAGAGAGAGAGAGAGAGAGAGAGAGAGAGAGAGAGAGAGAGAGAGAGAGAGAGAGAGAGAGAGAGAGAGAGAGAGAGAGAGAGAGAGAGAGAGAGAGAGAGAGAGAGAGAGAGAGAGAGAGAGAGAGACTCACCGTATGGGAATCGTATGTAAATGTCATCCTGACTTGCTCATTCGGCTCATGGGTTGTATGATGGTGGTGAGACACAATCGTGTGGTGGGGTGTTGTACTCATCTACGGGTGGAAAATTATATTATCTGAGATAAAAAGTTTATTGCATTTTGTGCTTTATTGGGGGATAATCTCTTGACGGAATTGGCCGTTAAGACAGGTTTGACAGGGAGTGCACGCTACTTCCATCTTACTACTATGAAAAGAGACTGATTTTGGCTTTAATTGTTCAGTTTTGGGTTGAACTCGTGACTGGATATTTGCAATTAACTGAGATTATTTTCATTATTATACATGTATTCTCAGCTGAGTCCTTCTCGATACACAGCCGTTAGGTCACAGTCACATGTATTAACGTCCCATTCCATCTCGATACACAGCCGTTAGGTCACAGTCACATGTATTAACGTCCCATTCCATCTCGATACGCAGACGTTAGGTCACAGTCACATGTATTAACGTCCCATTCCATCTCGATACACAGCCGTTAGGTCACAGTCACATGTATTAACGTCCCATTCCATCTCGATACCCAGACGTTAGGTCAAAGTAACATGTATTTACGTCCCATTCCATCTCGATACCCAGACGTTAGGTCAAAGTAACATGTATTTACGTCCCATTCCATCTCGATACCCAGACGTTAGGTCAAAGTAACATGTATTTACGTCCCATTCCATCTCGATACCCAGACGTTAGGTCAAAGTAACATGTATTTACGTCCCATTCCATCTCGATACCCAGACGTTAGGTCAAAGTAACATGTATTTACGTCCCATTCCATCTCGATACCCAGACGTTAGGTCAAAGTAACATGTATTTACGTCCCATTCCATCTCGATACCCAGACGTTAGGTCAAAGTAACATGTATTTACGTCCCATTCCATCTCGATACCCAGACGTTAGGTCAAAGTAACATGTATTAACGTCCCATTCCATCTCGATACCCAGACGTTAGGTCAAAGTAACATGTATTTACGTCCCATTCCATCTCGATACCCAGACGTTAGGTCAAAGTAACATGTATTTACGTCCCATTCCATCTCGATACCCAGACGTTAGGTCAAAGTAACATGTATTTACGTCCCATTCCATCTCGATACCCAGTGATTAGATCATAATCACATGATTTTCATCCAATTCCAAAGCGATACATAGTGATTAGATCATATTTACGTGAAGTTTCATCCTTTTTCTTAGAGATGTCTAGTGATTAGATAATATTAACACGTATTCTAATCCTGTTCTACCTAAGTACATAGTTTTTAGGCCCTAACTACATGTATTCCGCTCCGTTTCCATCTTAATGCCCAGTGATTATGTCATAATTACTTAATGTCCATCTGGTTCCATCTCAATTGTCCAAAGATTAAGGCCATTGTTAGATGTGTTCTCGTCCGATTCCATATTGATACCTTGTGATCAAGTCAATGTAACATATTCCTATCAGATTCCATTTCCATGTTGTTCGTCCGTCGAGTCGACGAAGACCACTCTAGTTACCCGTAAGTTGGAGGGGCTAGTTCTGTTTTGTTTGTGCGCAGGTGGCTGATAAAGCCAATCCTTGCACGGAAGGTTCGTTTGCAGAATAGACACGGGATAAGTGGGACATCTCCAGGAGGGTCGCTGGCACATGCTTTTCTGACTTGGCTTTTTATCTATGCAGCTGATATCCTGCTCGATTCGCACAGCTTGTAGCCTTGGTGCAGATAGGAACGCCAAGTGAATCGATCGCTAGCTGTTTTCTCCCATGAGTTAGGGTTTATGTTGAACGCTTTCAATGCAGCTTTCAAATTGTCTTTGAAGCGTTTCTTCTGACCTCGGTGGGATCTCTGTCCTTGCTGTAGCTCACCATAGAAGAGTCTCTTAGGTAGCTGGTGGTCTGGCATGCGTACAACATATCACTCCCAGCGTAGCTGGGACTGCATCAGGATGGTGGGAATGCCGGGGTTTCCTGCTTTAGCTAGTATCACGTTGTCTGGGACTTCGTCCTGCCATATTATGTTGATTATTTTCATGAAGCTTATGGTATGAAAGTAGTTCAGCTTCCTGGCATGGCGTTGATACACCGTCCACATTTCGCATGGGTAGAGTAATGTGGGGTGTACAACTGCCCTGTAGACCGTTAGTTTTGTCGTGATGCTGATGCCTCTTCTATTCCATACATTCTCATACAATCTGCCAAACGTTGCGCTGGCTCTGGCAATGCAGAGGTTCACCTCGTCGTCAATGGTGACACTGTGTTGCCAAGGTAGGTGAAGTGGTTTACTACGTTGAGTTTTTGGCTGTTGACGGTGATGTTTGGCTCAGTATAGGGCTTTCACGGGGCTGGCTGATGCAGTACTACTTCAGTCTTCTTAGTATTGATGGTGAGACCAAAGCTTGTGCAGAAACTTGAGAACTTGTCAACGCTGCATTGTAGGTCTGCTTCTGAGCCAGCATTGAGGGCGCAATCATCGGCAAATAATACCTACCTGATGTTTTATGTCATAACATTAGCTTTCGCTTGTAGCCTTCTGGGGATGAACAGTTTTCCATCTGTACGGTACCTGATGCCGACCCCAACATCTCCGTCTCTGAAATCATTAGTCGGAATGGCGGAGAAAAAAAAAGACTGTTGGTGCCAGAACACATCCCTGTTTGACACCATTGGTTACTGGGAATGGTTCAGATGACTCTCTATTTTCATGGACTCGTGCCTGCATGCCGTCGTGGAATTGCTGAATCATGGATTTAATATTTTTTGGACATCTATACTTAACCATTACCTTCCATAATCCTTCTCTGCTGACAGTATCAAAAGCCTTTGTCAAGTCGATGAAGATGGAGAAAAGGTCAGCGTTTTGCTCTTGACATATCTCTTGCAGATGCCTTGCAGCAAATACCATGTCAATAGTCCCAATTCCAAACACCATGTCAATAGCCCCAATTTCACCTCAAGTAAATATGCATTCCTTAACATACGCAGAATGGTTCATCAAAAACTCCGTAAGATGCGAGACACATGGCTTATCAACAAAGCTGATGATATACAGTGCTACGCAGACAAGTATGACATGAAAAA